ATTCTATAGGTTCGAGAAATTACATTTTGAATTAAATATATGAAAAGATCAATCATATGTTTAGCCGGCAATGGGTCCTATGATTGAACGTTTACGTTATCCGTAACGTACATGTTAGGCCAAATTTTAAAAGTAACGAGGCAAGTTCTTATGATGGAAACCTGTTAAATTAGAACATAACAGGCGGAAAATAGCAGTAATGTGTTGGAAAAAGTTTTCCATCGTACGAACTTGCCTTGTTACTGTTAAAACTCGGCCTAACATGTACGTTACGGATAACGTAAACGTTCAATCATACGACCCAGTATCTACAGTGTGACTATTTAAGATAGAAGCAGACGATTGGAACAATTTTTTTAGGGTCTTAGGAGGGTGATAAAATCTACTGCTTCGCAAATCTGCAATAATTAAGCTGCATTTTCAAGGCTTGCTTTGATTATTTTTTACTGTCGAAAATAGCAAAAAATTATTTATTTTTATAAATATATCTAACTACGTCACTGGATTCGTAAGCAAGGGCGTAGATAAGAGGGGGTAATAAGGATAATTACCCACCTAAGTCATAGTGAACACCTAACCCCTGTAGAACCCGTATTTGACAGACGATTGGAATAATTTTTTTAGCATCTTAGAGGGTCAAAAAATCTACTACTTTGCAAATCGTCAATAATTAAGCTGCATTTTCAAGGCTTGCTTTGATTATTTTTTACTGTCAAATATAGCAAAAAATTATATTTTTTATAAATAACTACGCCATTGGATTCGTTAGCAAGGGGTAGATAAGGGGTGGGGGTAATGAGGGTAATTACCCACCCAAGCCATAGTCAATATCATTATTTTTTTAAACGTGTTATGTTAAACAAAAATAGAAAGATAAATAAATACAATAAAAGTTTCCCAAATATTGTCATCTAAAATAAAAATTTGAAAATTAAAATATTGGGACCATATAGAAAACTTTCTTATTATTGGTTTTGTAAAAAAAATTATTTTTGATAAAAGTTCTGCATGGTCTAAAAATTTAAAATGCAGCCATCAGATATCAATTTTTTTAAAGCCATATACGAGGTTTGTCAAAAAAACATGAATTTTACTCAAGAGTAAAGTATCTTTATTCTTTACACGACTGATAAAATTTATTATTTGAGGTTGTATTGTAGGTTTTATACCATGATTGACTCTTTAAAAAAAAATAACTTTTTTCCTAATATTAGTAATAAAAAAGTTTTCCCTATGCCACCAACTGTCTACGTAAATTGGCGACATATGATAACTTTTTTATTAATATTGGAAAAAAGTTATTCTTTATAAAAAGTCGAGCATAGTTTAAAACCTAAAATACAACCATCCGATATCAAATTTTATCAGTCGTATAAAGAATAAAGGTACTTTACTCTTGAGTCAAATTCATATTTTTTGACAAACCTCGTATATGGCTTAAAAAAATTGAAATTTGATGGTTGCGTTTTAAGTTTTGGACCATGCAGAACTTTTTATCACGAATAATTTTTAAGTAAACACTGTATATATATAGGGTGTTTCAGAATAAAGTACCGCAAATTGAGGGATTCAGTTTTCATTCTACAGGATAATAAAGTGTATTACGTAATTTTCTAAATATCTTCAGGTCTGCACAACATACGGCCTCGGGCCGCTTGCAACCCGCCATTGTCGTTTTCTTGACCCTTTATCCCTTTATCAATTTGGCCTGTCTACGTCAAACTATATATTTTTCAGTAACAAAATGGCATTTATGTATTATAATTGTTTTTTTTTAAGCTCGATAGAAGGACCTGGTTCCAAGGGCGACCCCAGGGGGGGGGGGGCATGCCCCCCCAATTCTTACGATTTATGAGCATTTTATTCAAAAAAATATGCTATAAATGGAATGTCCTCGCCCCCTCCCGAAAATTCGTCTTGTAGCCGCCCTTGCCTGGTTCATTATAACCTGACGACCTTTTTTTAAGACCTTAATCCCCCCCCCCCCAAATAATTTACATCCATTCTTAGCCCTCGTACACCCACGGTTTATTTGAACTGGCCCTTTGAAAATTTCAGTTGTGTAGGCCTACCTTGCGTTAAAGTCTTTATCTTAAAAATATGTATATGTTAGTTAATCGTTATTATAATATTAGTTAACACACTCTACTTCGATAAATGACAATAACCCATTGACGTATAATCAAACGTTTTATATTTCCAAAAGTTAAGATTAATAATTATTCCTCACGCAAATTGTCACAAAAAGGGGACTCTTGGTTGATCTCTGTAGAACATTCCATTTCCGAGATCTTTCAGTTTTAGTTCTACAAAAACATGAAGTCTATGTACAATGTGATACACACGCCGTAATAAATATTACCACACAATTTTTTTAGAATAAAAAAATTTAAAAAAATACAATTTTTCCAATATCACGATTACTACAATACTGGTGGCAAAATAATACACTTATTTATTTTAAACAGTTTAATTATTTTGATTTATATTTACTAAATATACCAACTTATTTTATAACTAATTTATTTGTAATGAAAACTACACTTATTTGTACTTACTTTAACAATTTATCTTCGACAACATTTCCGAGTATATCTAAATTAACGATAAAAGAAACCACTTTTCTACAAATTATGACACTCTAGAAAAATCCAGTCTTGTCTCAAGGATTATGATTCCTTGTCTAGAAGTCTAGAAGCCAGCGGATAACAGTAACCTCTAATTTAAAAATTTCAGCCACTGCAAACCATTTTAATTTAAATCTTTGATAGTCCTGTTTATAGAGGAGGAAACAGGGGATGGTATGGAGTGATATGGGCAAGTTTCCATAATGTCGATATTTATTAACAAAGGCGTTATAAAACAAAAAGGTTCATAACTCCCTATTTATTTTGTCAACCATTCTTTTTTTTTGTTAAAATTAGGAAGTTTTATCATTTGGCTTTTAAGCAACTATAACAAGCACCATTCTCACTGAGACATTTTTAGTTGTTCTTTATTATCTGTGGAGTATCGTATAATTTTCTAATTGTTTTGTGAATGTCTTGGTTGCTCTGTTCGACTTAGTTTTAACGTTGTTAAATATATTTTAGACATTTTAAATTTTGTTTTAGTTTTAAGACTGTACCATTTGGAATTGTTAAATCTGTAGTGACAATAAATAAATCTAGGTGGAGTTCTCAAAAAAAGTGCTTTAAGCACCATAAGACTTTTGGAAAAGTAATTTCCAGAGCAAGCACTATAATCCCTTTGGAAATTCAAAGTGCTTACATTATGTTGGGAATGGAGTGTTAATATACTGCGACCTAAAAGATCTATTGTGCCCCCTTCTGTCGCTAATGCACCAAGGAAATGTCTCAATGCCTATAACGACCCTTCCAATCCTATTTTCAGAGCAAGCACTAATCACTTTGAAAATTCAAAGTGCTTACAACTACTAATTACCAAGGAAAGTACCTAATTGCACAAGTCAATTACCAAGCACCAATAATTACTCAAAAAATGTTTAAATCATTGTTGATTACTTGCGTAGGTGTTTGCAAGCATTATTTTCTTAAATAAATTACTAAGCAATAAAAAATATTTTTGTTCAGTACGATTCATATAATCAAAAAGTCTTTAGATTATGATTAACAGATAAAAATGATAGAAAAAGTTATATCATAACTTGTTGCCAACGAAATACAGAAAAAATCAAAGTTTGCACTTTTCCTAACTTTTCTACAATGCGGACCTTTTAGAAAAATCATGTATATAATTAAAATTATAGAGAATAACATCACAATCTCTTATTGAAAGAATGTTCTGCTATAATAATAAATAAATAAATAACATACAAATATACCTTAAAGTAGAAATAAATTACTATTAAAAGTACTTGTGGTCATATTTTGATAGGCAACCCAGTAAAACTGTATTTCTCTATCAATAATTATCTATTAATTTGTATTTTGATTAAAAAACAGATGAGTGCAGAAATCATATGGTCAGATCTAGTATTATAAAACTTTTTACTTTCATCTAAACCGATTTTAAAATAATTCTGGTCTGTAAATTAGACAACCCACTTTACATTGAAGTGTACGACGTGTTGCATTCCTACTAATTTTTTATACATTTTAAAAACACTATTTTAGACCAAATTAGGCATTCCAAACTGAATGGCTACCAGTGGGTTTTGACGGGTTATGATATGGCAAAATTATGGCAACCCTGTAGACCTGGTGATTTGACAAGGTCAATGAAATAGATAGTTACATAGATTGATTATCCATATTTTTCAAAATAAACATAAGAGTATGCCTTGAAGTAAAAATGTAAGAAATTATTTTTTTTTTAAATATCTAAAGACTAAAAATTGGTTTTAAAACACATTTTTGCTAAACCGATTCAAATTAATAAATATTTGCCAGGCAATATGGCCCGCTCGTAAACGACCAGTTTTGAGCAATCTATATAACTATATATGTATCATTGACCCTGTTAATGACAACATGACAACAGGGTTGCCATATCTAAACTGTCATTACCCACTGGTAGCCATTTGGACAGGTCGTTGGAATGCCTAATAAAAAAATTATTATTGCGGAGAACCATCAAATTAGTAATTAAAAACTTCAAAACATGCGAAATTCGTTTAAAAATACAAAAAGAAAAAAACAACCGAAGCCAATAAAATAAGGAGAAAAAGCACAGAATTACTAAACTATGTCAATTATCATAAAAAATAAACAAAACTGTATAAAATAATAACAAACGTATTTAAACAATAAAAAACACTAACCACCGTAAGATGGCGCTACTTACCTTTTTATTTTACTGAATCTTGTGCCAAAAATGTTGTGTATCTAATGGAGAGGGGGGATAAAATGAAAACGAAATAATGGGAAGACGCAATAAATTTATATACAAAAACAAAATAAACACATCGAATATATAAAACTATAATTTTTTTACAAGTTAAATACAAATAAATGCTTAAAATCAATAATACGTTAATACACTGCGAGAAAATTGATTTAAAGAAAACATGTAGTAATGTTTGGATAACAAAATTATTTTAAGATTACTATAAATACACTCTTTAGGTTTAACACATTTTTGCTTGTTTTATAAGTTATTACACATATTTAGAGTACTTAATATACCTACGATAAGAGAAATTGTAAACAATTTCTTGAATGAAAATAAAAATTAGTGGGATTTTTTTCATTTATGAATCTGCATTCGGCTCAATTTTCGTTATTATTTCCCAATATCTATCTCTAACAGTTTTTTTATTATAAAAAATAATTTCAAGAGGTTGTATTCATTAGATTATATGTTGTTTTGATAGTTTTTGCTACCGAATTAGTAAAAAAAGTAAAAATCCATCAACAAGGTCAAGGTAAAACAATTTAAATCTCAAATACAGTTAGAAATAGGTATAAAGAGTATTAAATAAAGTTGAGTAGAATATTATTATATAGGGTGAATCATACCTAATGGAACACAGACTATTTGGACCGAAATGAATGATTTTATTTTTACCTTTTGAAAATCTACACTGTTTAATAGCGTATGATGCATATATCTGTAAAAATAAATCATAACATTCTTGTTTTTATGTTAGAAACATCCGAGATATTCGAAACTTTAACAAACATAATGACTACTCAAAATATGCAAACACCTCATACACACAAATTTAAAATTTCAAACATCTGATAAAGTAATAAATAAGAAAAATGTCTTCCGTGAAAAATAATACGTAAAAACATTGAAAGGCGTGCTGTAAAAAAAATTCATAAAATACGCTGATGTTCCAATCATTCCACCGAGCCCGAGATTCATTTCTGGACCGAATCATTGTACGAGGGCGATTTGAAAAATTCTCTTAACCTAACATTGTTGTAAAATGCATCGTCCACGTGAAGGGAACGTCTGTCAAGCACCCGCGCCATCTGTCTTCATTGCTGTAAACTGTCTCATTGGTGACAAGTGACGTAATTACGCGTATGCAGTAGTGACGCATAAAAAAACTAGTGACGTAATGAAAAAGTTATGTAAGTCCAGAGAGTCCTCACACCTGATTGTATAAAATATTCTCTAAACATTTTAAATTAGAATACAGGATGTTTTTAAAGTTGAGTCATTTATTTTAACAGCTTGTAGAACTCGTCAAAAGAAGTCGATATACCAAAAATCCCCTAAATAAAAGTTGCATATTAAAAGAAATAAAAAGGAATTTCAAAATTTTAAAACTAAAACAAATACAAACTGTTTATCCGCATATTTTAATATTCCTGACCACTGCCAAGTAAAAACTTATCGTTGTTTGGTTACTACGACAATTTTACTTATCTAGGTATAGCTATTTTTTTTGTTTTACGGTTTTTCGATTAGTTACTGGTATCAAGCGTTTAGTTCGTATCACTTTAATTTTTTTGATATTTTGTACGGAAAAATGGCCCACGTTTATGGAAACAATGAACTAGTGGACATAATACTAACATACGGAGAGTGCCAACAAAATGCAGCCGCAGCATGTCGCCTTTACGCGGAAAGGTTTCCATTAAGAAATCATCCGGCTCCACGGATGTTTGTAAATTTAGTTATTCGACTTCGTGAGACAGGATACTTGAAAGAACAACGACGGGGTCACGCTGGAAGACCTGCTCCACCTGAAATGGTAGAAATTAAGGAAAATATTTTGGAAATTGTGGAAAATTACCCAACAATAAGTACCAGAGCCATAGCAACTAAAGTCGATGTTTCCCATAGTAAAGTGTGGAAAACAATACGGCAGGAACAATATTATCCTTATCATTATCAACGGGTACATGCATTACAACCTGAAGATCATTCTAGAAGAGTTGAATTTTGCCAGTGGTTTTTACAACAGTTGAACAGAAATGAAGATTTTACGAAAATAATTTTAGCTACAGACGAATCCACATTTACACGAAATGAGATATTCAATTTTCACAACAATCATGTTTGGGCAGTAGAAAATCAGCATGCCGTAAGAAGATCTAATTTCCAACATAGATTTTCATTAAATGTTTGGGCTGGTGTAGTAAATGGTATGCTTATTGGACCATACTTTTTTCCACCTCGGCTAACCGGTGACATTTATTTAGATTTTCTTCGACACCATCCGCCCGAATTTTTAGAAGATGTTCCACTGAATGTTAGGCAGGATATGTGGTTTCTACATGACGGAGCTCCACCGCATTTCAGAAGAGTTCGTGCATATTTGAATGAACAGTTTCCGAATAGATGGATAGGGAGGGAGGAATGGACCCGTTTCTTGGCCTGCACGCTCTCCGGACCTAACGCCTTGTGATTTTTTCTGTGGGGTTATTTAAAACAGTTGGTGTATCATCAGGGCCGACTAGAGGGGGGGTAGCCGGGACTAATTCCCGGGGCCCGGACTCAAATGGGGGCCCGGCAGCGGTATAAGGGGGGCAAGACAACTGGATTTTTTGTTCTGTATGAGAAATTCGACACAAGACGAGAGGGGAAGTTTAATGCAAGCAGAGGAAAAGTTTTTGCGCTTGAAGACTTTTTTTTTTAGAAAAAGTAATTCAAGTAGGGGAGAAAAAGTTTTTGGTAGTTTTTAGTTGAGGACCTTTTTTTTAGAAAAAGTATTTCAAGTAGAAGAGGAAAAGTTTTTGTTTGAAGAGCTTTTTTTTATCACAGGGCCCGATCTAGAGAATTGTCCTGGGGCCCGGCCTGGCTCTCGGCGGCCCTGTGTATCATGATGGAGAAGTAAATACTGTGGAAGAACTTCAAGGCCGCATTGTAAATGCTTGTGATGTTATTCGCAGACATCCGGATTTTATTTTTGAGGCCTGTCAGGAGTCGTGGGTATGCCGAGCAAGACTATACAATAATCGGACAAATGCTGACAATTTTGAACAATTTTTGTAAAAATGGAATACATTTTACCGATAAAAAATGTTTTTAATTTTAAAAAACCTATAACTCCCTTATTATGCAACTTTTATTTAGGTGATTTTTGGCATATCGACTTCTTTTGACGAGTTCTACAAGCTGTTAAAATAAATGACTCAACTTTGAAAACACCTTGTATATCAAAAAGTAACCTAACTTTAAAATTATGGATGTACTCAAGAGTGTGCTCTTTCATAATCCTTCGTAATACATACAGGGCGTCATTGAAAATGTTGCCGTAACGGTAGCTTAGAATGACAAATAGGGTAGTGCGATGAAAAAAGTATGTGGAATTATATTCCTTTATTCAGTCTCATACTCCAAAAATTCAAGATTCCAACTTAAATTTTAGCAGAAATAAACTCATCCGAAGTTTTCGCGAGTATACCAGGTTTATTAAATGTACATTCTTTATTATCGAATGTTTTATACATATACAGGGTGTTTCCGAACTTGGCGCCCAAATTAGTAGGGGTGGTAGTTCGCATAATTTGAGACCGATTCGCAGATTTCATTTTTCCAAAATATTTCAAATAAAAATAATTAATAATTAATTAAAAATTTTAAACAGGTACGGTCCTGCACAGCGACGGGTTCGCCTCGACTCCGCTTTAAATCGACAAAATTGCAAGTCGCATCTGTTCTTGAGTTGTAAATCCCGATGAGTAACCGATCATGCGACTGTTGCGCTACGCGATCAGGATAGGACCCGCTCTTTGATTTTTTTATAATGGCTCTATTTTGTTAATTATAATTTTTTTTGAAAAATGAAATCTGCTAATCGCTCTCAAATTATGCCAACTACCGCCCCTACAAATTTGGACGCCAAGTTCGGAAACACCCTGTATAATTGTAAATAAGTAAAGACTTTGCTCAATAGCCCTTTGGGAATATCCAAAAAATACAGTACTGTCATGAAAACCATTTTCCACTAGTCCGATCCTGCTATAATCCCTTTCATTTATAAACCAACTCCTGCGGTTGTCAGTTTATAATATATAACCCATCCTGCTGATCAAGTTTTCTCAAAAAAGCCCATCTCTGCCTTATTTGAGCCTTTAGGGACATCCATTTTTTCCGTTACCAAGAATATTCAATTAACTAAGTCAACCTCCGAAACCCTCATGATACGCCCATGGTCACCGCCAGTCGAAATGAATTATCACTCTAGAATGTATTGGACCCATCGATGAATGATAACGAAACAACAATTCTGGTGGAGGTGCCGATTGTTAGCCAAAAAAGTCTGGAATATTCTAGAACGTCATACAGGGTGTTTTTTTAATATTGCGAAAAAATTCAGAGGCGTGTTCCTTGGACGAAATGAAGCAAAAAAGTTCCTATGAACATATGTCCAACGCCTCTTAGATTTTGAACTACTGGGTGGTAACGTTATTTTTAATGTTTATCAGACAGGCATGTTTCAATTTTTTACCGGAAAAAGGTAACTTCACAAAAAATGCTTCTCCCAAACTCAAGGATCTTCAATTGCAATACAGTAAATACTATTAAATTAAAAATTTAAATTTTAACGATAGGGCATTGCAGGAAAATGGTTTTTATTTTTTATGCGAAAACCATGCATCAAGCGAAAAAAGACCAAGAGACCAGATATGCTATAAAAGAAAGAATTCAAAAATGTTTTTTTATTACAAGAAAAACCAGTGGCGTACCGTTTTTATAAGAAATATTCAGTTCAAATCCCGCATGAACGCCAACGGCGAAAGTAAAAGTTTAAATTGTGTATCGGAAAATGGCTTTGGATGCATACAAACTGCGTACCAATTTTCAGAAAAATATCTACAGGGGTATTAAATGTATCGCAAAAAATAAGTTTTTTTTCTTATAACTTTACCACCCTGTAGTTCAAAATCTAAGAGGCGTAGGACATATGTTCATAGGAACTTCTTTACTTCATTTCGTCCAAGGGACACGCCTCTGAATTTTTTCGCAATATTGAAAAAACACCCTGTATAGACTTCAGTTTTGGTTAAGATATCACACTGATATAGTAAATATGGTCAATATAAATTAGAATATCAGTAAAAGAGACATAAATTAATGCTATATTTAGTACTAATAGAGTTATAAAATAAATTAAACCATTTAAATAATAAAAACAAATGTTACATTATCTTAAAACGTCTATATATAATTAATCTAACAATAGTTACCCCCTGATTAAAAGTATTAACGAATTCAATTTAAGCTGAGAACTTTTGAAATCGCCCTCGTGTGTTGCACCAGAAAACGTTCAACGTTCGCCGGATAGAAGGCCGTACGTGGTTTTTTTTTTGTAAAGATAATTACAAATATATATTATAAAACAGTCTTGAGCCATATATGTTTGGCATTAGAAGAATGTCACAATGTATTAGCCATCATGCAAATGCTGTCCGATATATGGAGTAATAAGAGTTTCACATAAAAAACTCCTGCGTGGAGTGAGACAACGTAAGTCATGCATTTGGTGGCCTATCCAGACAGCTGATTTCTAACACCCGCAACCCTCTCATACTGGGATCCGTCAGTTTTAATCCTCTTGGTTCGTATACTCGTTCATTTTGCTCTGCTATGTATTTAGACACTTTTTTCAAACACTAAAAAAATTATTAACTGTTAACAATAGTTCTGATGGGCAAAGGTAAACGAAAACCTGGTGGGTTTTTACTAAATTTTGTACAATCTTTATTATAAAGACATTATAACAAGTTGTAAAGTACTAAGTAAAAAAAGAAAATAAAATAGAAAATATAAAAAATATAAACAAAATAATAAAATTAAAAATATTCAACAATTACATATTAACATATAAGTTTTTTATAGCTCTTTTAAAAACAGGAAGAGAATTATGGACAATATCAATATTCTGATGTTTGTTAGCTAATCGTAAAATTCTGGATATTGTCTCATTTTGTCAATAGTTAGTGTAATGAAAAGGTATACGAAATAGTTCAACATTCCGAGTACGCCTTTCATTTACATTGAAAAGTATCAAGTTTGATAGTTCGGAATTGGATATAATACCATTTAAAATTTTATATAAAAAACATAAGTCAAATTCTATTCTCTTGTACTCCAATGCTTGCATGTTTAATTGGAAAATATTTTCATAATTAATATCTATTCCGTTTATGCCCATTTTTAAAGCACAATTCCGCAAAAATTTTCGTTGTACTTTCTCAATGTTATTAATGTAAATAGCATAATTGGCAGACCAAACAGAGCGGCAGTATTCTAAGTTAGACCTGACCAAAGTCGAGTACAGCAGTTTAAATGTATTAATAGAAAAATGTCTACTGTTCCTCTGAATAAATCATAACATTTTAAATGCCTTAGAGGTTATTCGACTAATGTGAGTGTTAAAGGAAAGCTTACTGTCCATAATAACTCCCAAATCGCGAACATTATGTATGAATAGTGAACTGAAGAGGTAATTCTACAAAAGGTGAACTAATGATATTTTTTAACATTTAAGTACAACACATTTTCATCACACCAACGGCAGTGGACTTACGTCCTATTAATATATTATCTATTTAAATCAGCTGGTAGTAACACAGCATCTGTTGGAAACTGATCTAAATATTTTCACATCATCAGCCAACATGAGATATTTACTGTTATAGATGACACTAGAAAGATCATTAATAAATAAATTGAATACCAATAGACCCAAATGAGATCCCTGCTGCACACCTGAAGATACTGTAATTGCCTCCGTATTTGCAGTTGCCATATTTAACATATTGAATCCTGTTACGAAAAATAACTATCAATCCAATTTAATATAATATCACCAAACCCATATCCTCTTAGTTTAGCAGTTAGTATGTCATGGTTGACTCTGTCAAATGCTTTTGAAAAATCTGTATAAATGGAGTCGATTTTAAGGATTGTACGATGAAATAGTTATAGTTCATTAAATTTGTACAAGAAGACTTATCTTGACAACACCCATGTTGTTGGTCTAATATCAGATGTTTAGAACCGAATTTTAAATATTAATTGATAATTATTGTTAGTATAATTGTCTTAGTATCTAATATAAATCAGATCAGAACGTTAATGATTTTCCTATTGTTAAAAATGATAATGTAAGTCTTAAAAAGTTTAATCCTATTAGTTATGATCATTTAAAAGAAATTGTTTTTGATATGTTGAATAATGGAAGTCCAGATGAAATTAATGTACTGTTCTTAAAAAAATGTTTCCAAAATATTTAAAAATATAATAAATTCCTCATTAGAAACTAATACAGTTCCAGACAATCTAAAAATGTCAATAATAACGCCAATAGCTAAGGTTGAGAATTCAAATAGGGCAGTGGACTTACGTCCTATTAATATATTATGTAGGTAGTCATATTTGACCAAAGACTGACGTGGAATCAACATCTCAAAAAACTTACATACAAAATTACAATAGCTCTCATAAGCCGTAGAAGAATATGTGGGAAAAACTGGGGTCTAAACCCCAAAATGACCATATGTTTATACACAAGAGTGATAAGACCCATGATAACCTATAGCGCAGTGGCGTGGGTAACCAAAACTGCGCAGGCAAGTGCAATAGGCCAATTCACAGGCATTCAGCGGCTTGTCTAAGTGCTACTGGGGCCATGCTCACTATGCCAACTGCAGCAATGGAGGTATTATGATAACGCTCATGATAATCTAAGGCTTACAGAAAGATGTGACATAAAAGAACTAAGTGAGGAAAATTTGTTTGAGTGTTGTGCTGCAGAAATTAAAATAAATGGTCTGTGTTATGTAATATGTTCTGTATACAAACCTCCAACAACCTAGATTCTCTACTTTATTGAAAATATGAATCAAATATTAGACAAAGCTTGTCAGGATAATAGGATAGTCTTGTAATACAAAAAAGAGCAATTCGAATATTGGCTAATCTAAAGCTTACAGAATCATGTAGAGGTCCCTTTAAAAATCAAAATTTGTTGACAGCATATGCTAGTTACGCATATGAGTGTATTATGTTTGTGTATAAAAATAAAAGTATATTCAACGAATATATAGCACACCACCTTCACAACACAATGTTTAGAAATAATTTTTGTCTACCAACGCATAGAAGTACCCCACTGGAAAAGGGATGCTGTTACAAATGTTTGCAATTTTATAATATGCTTCCTGATCTTTTAAAAAATACTAAGAGCCTATCAGCTTTCTAAAATAAGGTCAAACAAATTTTGATTTCTATTGAGCCTTACAGCTTAGATGATGTAAACGAAGTGATTGTAAGTTATTATTATTTGTAAATCAACAGAAATCTATACCTGTTTTTTAAAGATCATGCAAACTATATAGTTAAAATCAACTACTTGTACCGGTGCTCAAAATTTATTAATAAATGGTCATTGATTCTTTTATATAATAGTATAATTTTGGCTCATTTCACTTATTGTGCCACCATTATGTATTTACTTAATCAGAATGAAACCAACAGACTTCAAAAATTACAAAATAGAGAGCAATGAGGATATTATTGTCATGTAATAAAAGCACCAATATATTTTGGAGGTTACAAAATTTACAATGGCTTTCTATTAAAAACTATGTTCTCTACTTTAAGATTCATTTATAAAATTAAACATGGACTTGTTCCCTCTTATTTGCTTGATAAAATCAATTACAACTTTGACCATCATAACTATAACACAAGAAATAGATTTAATTTTCATATTCCACAAGTTAAATATAAATTTTATATATACATATATTTGTTTTGTTTGTAATTTTATTTAATTGTAATTAATAATAAAATTATGTATAACCATCATGTTCACACCCATAATACAAAACTTAAAAATGATTTTCATATTAGTACCGTCAACACCAGTCATGCTCAAAATTCAATCTTTTTTTAAAGGCCTACAGCAATTTAATGACTTGCCAGAATATCTAAAGAAATAAGAATCAATTAATGTATTTAAACGTAAACTAAAACAAAATGTGTTAGATTTAAGTAGGTAATTTATGTATTGAAGTATTTGTTATTAATATTATTATTCTATGTATGTGTGTTGTTTAATTATATTTTATTTTATGACTACAGTTATTGCATATTGACTATGTATTAGTTGTTTTTTGACTAAATAAAGGATTTATATAAATATGGCGTGTAAAAAGAAACACAATTACCTATAAGATAAAATGTTAAAATTCTTGGTGACTTAACCATGAATTTTTCAAGGAATTTTTATAGATCAATATTTAAGTTTAATTTAGATACGAAAAAGACTAAAATTTTTAATTAAAATTGTATTAGCTTTTTATTCAAACATAAAAAAAATTTTATGTTCATATTTATGAAAATAAGTATGTTTCAACAGCAACAAATTCTATTAACTGATAATTTATTGGTAAGGTTTTCTTATAAGAATTAAAGATACATGAAGAATGTAAATAATTAGTAATTATCATATTATCCAGTGTTAATCTTGTTGTATTCATAATTTTTTTTATATCATTGAACAAATCCTGGACTCAAAAAAGTCCATTTGACAAATCAATACCTGAGATAAACTGCACTGTCATTCTAGTAGTCAACATTCAGTAGATCAGATTGAATGTTCTTTGGACACTTTTTGTACTCCATTTCATATTATTATATTTCAATAATAAATGCAGTTAGACACCCAATTATTATCACAATATTTATGTATTTTTACTAGTAAGACTATCAAGCAGTTTGTTCTGTTGATTGTAAAACAGTATTTATCAATAACACATATAAAAAATAATGAATAAATGAATGGTTGTGCAAAATTTAGTAAAAATCACTTAGTTTCCATAACATTTACCCAATTTTTGGTTATTCAATTAATTACCCTTTCATAATGTGTTTCCTTGCAAATATAAATTAAATAAGCCGTCAAGCAGGCGAGACATCCTTCGCAATAAGTGGAACAAGTTGCTTTTTCAGCTTCAGCAAAATAAGAATTCAGTCTATTTACAGTGGTTTCGAAGGCTTGCCGTTCCAGCTGAAAACGCCCACTTTAAAATAAAATATATAAAATATCGAATCGTACAGCTTACCCTGCCCTCGAGTTCTTGTGGGAACCGATTTTGGAATTTTACCAACGTTCCTTCGCTGTAGTCTCTTTGGATGAACACTTTTAGGCATTGCGATTGTGCCATCTGTTCGGTTTCACCAGTTCTGCCGCCATTGTGGTGATTGCTCATCTTTATTTGACCTATTTTGTATAAAATTAATATTAAAATTGAACAATCTAAGAATTTAATTGGTAAAATAAAAGTAAATCAACAAACTGCATTCGACATTTTGTACGTCACATTTGATGAGTGGATGACATGAACGTCAGACGTCAGTTTAGTTGTCAAATGAACATGGCTAAATACTTATACAGGTACCGTGCCAATAAATTAAAAATAAAAGAAGAAATACAGGGACGGCTTCACTTCTCAACTACAAGGTATTGAAATTCTGGGTCGCCACGCAAAGAGCGTATTCTATACTTTTAAACTGGAGGAGCGAATCAAAAATTCGCATTAACACAGAAAAATGTTACTAGATATCATTTTTAACCGACTTCAAAAAGGAAGAAGTTCTCAATTGTAATATTTATATATTTTTTTTGTATGTTCACTGATAATTCTTTAACACGGTGTCCGATTTCAACGATTCTTTTTTTGTTAGAAAAGGGGTACTTCAGGGGTGGTCCTATGTCAATTTTTCAAAATCTAATAATGGGTCCATTAGAAAATCCTCAAACTCTTCATTTTTTATGTATGTTTAGCGGTAATTCTTTACCACCTTGTCCAATTTCTGATTCTTTTTTGTTACTAAAGGGGTACCTCAGTGGTAGTGCCCTATAAATTTGGTCAAGATGTGGTGATGGCATCTGCACGATTTTGAAGTCGGTTTTTTTAAAATTATTATTTTTATAACTTGTAGCGGTAAATTTAAATCTGACTTTTGTCACATTGTAACCAGCGACTAGCTATGTCCAAGGGGTTAAACAACAACATATATAAATTCGGGCCTCAATAGCGTAAAATACTTTTTTACCTGGTTTCATAGACCTTAACCGTATATAGGGCGTCGTTGATACTGCAATACGAGCTATGTCATGAAAAACTAATTTTACGTATTACCAGATAATATAAATTCATGTTTGGTATGGAATATTGGACATAATACAAATTGCAATGCATGAAGCACTGTTGGTTGCATACTTTTAAAAAAATTAAGTGAATTTTTGATATTATTGACACAGTACGTCTTGTATTTTCAATGACGAAGGGTTAGACTCTTAATGTAGGAACTTAGAAAGACTGAAGGAAACAATGGTTTCTTAACATAAATATAAATATATGCTAAACAATTATACAAAACGTCACAACTCGACATACACAAATTTGGGCTCACTACAATAAAAACTGTTTCTAAAGTTGACACTTTAAAAAGGTCCAGTCAATTAAATAGTTACAAAAATAATCCAAAAAATACTAAAAACCATGTACAAACGTATAAACAATACAAGAATTTATAAATATCTGATCCGGTAATGACGTAACACAGTGAAACATACATACTAGATGGGATTGCCCAATCCTAATAGAGAAGTAAAGTATCCTTGGATATACCTAAAAGTCCTATTTTAAAAGCCTTTTTTCAGGATCACCCCTTTAAAAAATGAACTTACCAACTATCAGAGGCACATGTCACAACTCTTGATTAACCGTACAAAATCGCGAATCAAAATAATAAAGATTCTTAGCCTTCGTGACCAAGATTTGCGACCCCAATCCTCCACGATGAAAATCCTCTACCAGGAGGGTCTCCGCGTTTAAATTAAACAATATTTATTAACAATTTAATAATGGGTATGACCAGAGATAACAGAGATATAACTCATTCATTAATAAAATATAATATTCACGATGCCAAGATTAATTCGACAATCAATACACTCTATTTGTAGGTCCGCGGCGAGGAGACGAAAGGTGAGAAGTAAGAGAGGGGATAAAGAGAAGGATTTTACGCAGATACAACTTTATTTTATCAATGAATAAATGTGTAAGCTTATAATAAATAACGTAGATAACCATGCCGGTGTAAGCCCTGTAGAGGTATGTATTGGAGACATTTAATAAACATATTTTAAAAATGTTTTATTTTTTTATTTATTAATATATCTTAAATTTATTTATTAATCATAAGCAAAATCAACTCTCCACATTAGACCCGTTATAACTTTATAACAAAATAATTCCTCAAATTTGGCACTATCAACCTAAATTATTTTATAAAATAAAAGTTTCGAACTTACTAGTTCTATACTTCATTTTATAAAATAATTTAGACGGAAATGATTTAAAATTAATTTAGTACTACCTACTATTAAAAATTACAATTTAAATTTACCGCCATCTGTCAATTGTCATATTAGTTCCTACTTCAAACCCAAGGTGGCGCTACTTTGGTTTAAAAGTCTAACATTTGCGTGGGGTCCAAAGAAGTAGAGAGGGTAGAACGATAAAGTACCGTCTGCGCATCCATTACGAGTGTAGACATTATGCGTGTTTCAACCTTCCACTCTTATACATGTAAATGACAAGGAGAGGTTGCCCTAAAGCACTGTAAACAAATTCCAGGATTGGCTCTGTTTAGCGATTATGTTCATGTTCAGCTCTGTTTTTTGTTTGTTTTGTGGCTGTTGTAAGCTTTTTTGCCATCAATTATTTGTTATCTTGCGTATATTTGTGATTTTTTGTGCTTTTATTTCAATTTAGTATTTAATTATACTTGTTAATTATTTTCCGATGCACTATTTTATAGTTGTTGCACAAAATGTCCGTCCCTGAATCTTGTTTACAAAATGTGCAAAACGAAATTGTGCATAGTTTCTAGACTTTTTCATTGACAGTTATCATTCTACCCCTCTCCACTTCATTGGTGGGGTCTCTAGAGGATAGGTGCTTTGTGGATTCCACCGTTGTGTTAAACGAAGTTTAAAACACTAAGTGAAGATTAAAATGACATTTTCACATTGTCATTTTAATCTTCGTTTAGTAATTTAAACTTCGTTTAACTCGACGGTGGAATCGGTCCTAATCTAACCAGATTAGAAAAGATTCAAAATAAGATCCGTGCTTATTTATGATTGTGTTCACTGACCAATAAAAAGATGTAAAAATAACGGATATTTTTCTAAATCCGTTGCCTGTATAAACTTAAAAAACTGGAAAAGTTATAATAATAGGACTCAAATGGAAGGTGTATATATGTTGTGCAGTCATTTTTACTGTGTAATTAACACTAAACTGTAACTGTTACTAGAGTTCAGTGATAATTAAAATCAAAATTGATGTTTTTTTTTTTTAATTCCTGGCTTTTGATCGTTAGATTCTAATATAGGTATAGCTGTCAGATAAACTGAGGTATAGCCACAGAATACCTACAGCTAAAAAATGGCCCTTATAAAAACGTATTAATTGTATTTGGGTGTACTAGTGTACTAGAACCTTTGAAAAGGGAATAAATTTAGTACGAACATGCTAGAACTGGCAACGCTGTTCACGCAGGTTTGCCACTTGCCAGAACATTTTTTTTAAGAATATCAATTAGTATTGTGTGTTGCCTATGAGTAGTTTTATTATTATAATTTGAAGTATATTTCCTCCATGGTATAATACTGAAACAGGGAAAACTGGAGTGAATTAAAACACTACTAATAACTTAATAAATATATTTGATAAAAACATCAATAAAATATTATCTCGCTTATTATAAAATGTAATTTTTAAGAAAAATATAAATATAAGCGCGATGTACATACATTATATATGAAAACAGTAAAAATGTACGGGGTTTTTTAAGTTACAAAAAAGAAAGGAATAGAGAGCAAAAATAGAATTTGACAGTATCAATTTTGAAATTAAAATACCCTGTACCAATAACATATTTAATTTTTTTAAACGTTACACTGAACAAATACAAAGGATGTAAATCGATTATATATACAGGGTGGCTCACGCTCAACGGGACGGAGCTTTATGGGAAAACGACCAAAGATATAAAAAATTCGTTTGGGAGGAATACGTAGGTTACAGACGGCTACAATTTAAAATTTGTTAGATGTATACAGGATGTCCCACATAAGAAAAAAAAATTAGTTCATTAAAAATTATTCAAACAAGAGTAAACAATTAATTTCTGTGAGACTTTTTTTCCTTAAAAATTCAAATAAATCGAAAACTAATAATAACAGTAATAGGGAACCTTTAGTTAACTGACATTATTTTTGATGTAGTTTTTAATTCTAAAATAAAAAACAGGGTGTTCCATTAAAAATAATATAACTTTGTATATTTTCTCTTATGTGGGACATCCTGTATACATCTAACAAATTTTAAATTGTAGCCGTCTGTAACCTACGTTTTCCTCCCAAACGAATTTTTTATATCTTTGGTCGTTTTCCCATAAAGCTCCGTCCCGTTGAGCGTGAGCCACCCTGTATATATCGATTGACACCTGTATTATTTTTTATTGAAATAAAAAAAATAAAGAACAGTTATATACAGGGTGAGTCATAACTATTATTGGGATATATGGAGCAAGCGAAGGTAATTTGGAGGATTAGATTAAGCATAGGCTTAATAAAATGTTTCTGAGGAATAAGATATACAGGGTATTCTTAAATCGTTATCAAAATTTACAAAGATGAGGCATTCCTTTAAAGAAGAAATATTATTTTATTATTTTACACTTTGTTGCAGGGGGCGTCACATGAAATTGGGTGAAATGTTTTTTTGACGAAGTTATTTAGTAATTTTGATTAGAAAATATGATATAAACATCATTTTTTTGTAAAAATTTTATACCTGTTTAAACTTGATAATATCAACCATTTTTTATAAAAATACAAACATTTCAAAGTCGCTGTAAGGGATTTTATAACATAAAAAGTATAGCTACGCCAGTTCTGGGGCAAACCTAATGTAAATTAATATGGTGGTAAGATCTCTAAAATCCCAAAGAGCAATTTTGTCACTAGATTTAAGAATTTTTTAAAATGCAGTTACTTGTTTTTCGAAAGTTGGTATTACTGCTTTTCTTACTGGATTTGTATGTTGGTATCACCGTCTGTCACTAGATTTAGTATCTTTTCAAAAATCTAGTAACTTCAGACCCGATCCTTTTCCCAAAAATGAACCCCCATTACGAACGTATCAAATTTTGACTTCTGCGGGGGTCCGAACCAATGAACTGGAGTGGGGTAGAATGCTTGTCAATAGGCTTTACATGCGACTCTATGGGCAAAGACAGGTTATTTTTCATCTCACTCGGGAGTATTTATTACAAC